TGAAAGATTTAAAATGTAATACCTTTGAAAAAATAATAATAGTTTTATTTTTGTAGATTTAAGAATTCTAGACTTTTTTGTATAATTGATGATGATTTTGTAGGGATCTGTAACAAAAATATTTACAGTAAAATATATCATTGGGTAAATAGTTATACTGCCAACCTCTGTATTTCTACAGGTACAGAAGGCTACAAAGTCCAATAGCAGAATACGAGTTATAACCTGCTTCTAGAGTTCAGATATAATTTTCTTGCACTGTTAGTAGATGTCCTATTATTCAATATTTTGAAAGATCTTGCTGGGTGGATTCTAATCTTTGTGATATTTTAATAAACTATAATACAGATTAAGTTAAAATAAGGCATGCTTTTAAAATATTCCCTGAGACAAAAGAAAATACCACTCTAAAGTCCAAAATTATCTTACATCTTAAAAAGTATTAAAATATGTATTCTTCAAAACTCAAATTATTAGACACCTATATACTCCCTGCCATTTCAGCACATTTCTTGTTTGATAATGTAGGCAGAAAGATATATTTAATCTCAAATATAGAATAGCAAAGCATTAAAATAATATCTCCAAATCTATCAGAACAGCAGAATATTTGAGATTCTCAGAAGTGCATTTCTAATCAGACCAAACTTTGTTTCTTTAATTTGCCTGAAGGGAAAGCTAGGAAATAGAGCCTCAAATTTCACTAGACAGATAAATAGGCATGTCTTCATATTGTTTTTGAGTTTTTTCCAGTCCTCCAGCAGCAATAAGATCCATTCATAATTTAACTATTATCAGAGCTTCTGCATGAAACAATGTTGTTTTGCTTTCCTGCAAACTCCTTTCAATATTAGGTACTTGATAAACAATGATTTAAACTACACACAGCAGGAACTTATCTTCTATTAGCTTCCTTATTATGTTGACATGTGTTAAGAAATTAAAACCAAAATGAACTAATATATCTTGTAATACTTCAGAAGCATTATCTCTGTATGCTCTCTAATGAAGGTTTATTCCTTCTTTTATGTTCCCTGACTACTTCTTTGAATCTTAGAATGGATCTAATTTCAGTGTTCAGACTCTGATTTCTGCCTGGCTCATTTAAGTTTGTAAACATCTTTGTGGCCTCACCTATCTTTCTGCCAAAACACAAATGCGTGATCCAATATGCTATTATTTTCTGATTTGCACCCTGGAATGGCATCCGTTTTCCCATCTGCCACACACTTTCTTGATAGTCTTTGAATCCTAGAAAAACACCGCCATTCATGGTCTAAGGTTTCTGCTT